ACCACCCTTGGGACGGGAAAAAAAACCCCAGATTTGGTTAGAATTGTGTCTTCCGAGGTACAGCCGGGTTTGCAGTCGCTGCCGCCTTTGTGCCGTCACGGCCGTTTCGCCTGGAAGCGGGATGCTGGGCTCAGCGGTGTGTCAGGCCAGCGTCCCCGCTCCCGCTGCTTACGGGTGGGGTGTTTGGTATTCTGTCGTCGTGCAATGCTTTACCGGACCTCTTCACCAGAATCCGTGAGCTCTTGGAAATGCTGTCTCTGGAATTTGGAGAGGTGTGAATATTTGGTATTGATTTTCTGTAACGGGATGCTAACCATGTGGGGCTTTATGGGAGGATGAAGAGTTTGATTTCTTTTTCATTCCTAGGTTTCTAATGAAGCTGAGTCATGAGACTGTGACCATCGAACTGAAGAATGGGACACAGGTGCACGGGACTATCACAGGTATGGCGGGATGAGAGACGGCAGCCGTGGTCTGGGCTGAACGGTTTGTTTTGTGCTCCCTCTGGCGGGGACCGGCTCTGCAAGGCGCGGGAGGTGGTGTAGTTCGCATCGTCGGGAGCAGGCGTACGGCGCGTCTGTCGCAGGAGTCGCTGGGACCGGAGTGCAGAGCTGTGGCCGGCCAGCTTTCCCGAGGCAACCAGGAAAACGCTTGGAAATTGCAGCCGGTCACAGATTGTCTTTGATAGCCCAGTAGGCGAGCTGGCCTGTGGTCAGCCTTACCCTGTTGATACATCCTGGAATAAGCTCTCTGTTAGAAGGTGCTGCTGGGAGGCAGTGAATTCCCTGTAGCCTGGCTGCAGGCTTGTGCTTAACTCATAGACGGGCCTGAGGGTGGAGGAGGTAATCCCAAACCGTTGGCAAAACTGGCATGAGCAGAGGGTGTTCTCGTAGAATTTTAGCAGCGTGATAATGTTGGCGAGGTAGTTTTGCTGCCTTATCGAAGCTGCGTTGGACATACAGCTGGATTTTTCCTAAGATGTTTCCGAACACTTGACTTCCCTTGTGAAATTGTAATCTGCAGTGAAAACCTTACGTCATAAGAGGGACTTTGTTTTTTTAATGGTAACACTGATAAATGGTGGATGTTAAGTGGTGGTACGGTCTTAAATGGGTTAAATTTTGTGCGAAGGTGTTTTTAACCTAAAAGTTGAATTACTTCTGTTGAGCATGTTTTTGCGCTGGGTAAGGCGAACTTACATGGAAATGCACCTTTGCATATATCTGCGTTAATTCAGTGAAACGGGTTTGAAAACACGTAGCTTGATACAGGGCAAGAAGGAATCCTGGCGTTGGGAATTTGGTCCCCTGCTGTTGCCAGAGGTCTGTCAGAGAAATCTGGGGGTGGGGTTGTTGAGCCGGTGCTTCTTTATGTCGCTGAGCTGAAGGTTGTAGGGAAGACCCGCGTGGTTCTCTACGCAGCTCCTGTGTGTTGGTAAACGTGTGGAATGTTTTGTCTGCTGTAGTAACGTCAGTGAGGGGTGTTGTTCTGAGAACATTGCTGTAGCGCTGCCTGGGAGGTGATCAGGTACGTTGTATTTAATGAAGCAAACCCTTACTGCTCAGCTGATGGACGTGCTTGATCATAGAATCACAGACTGGTTTGGGTTGGAAGGGACCTTACAGACCATCCAGTTCCAACCCCCCTGCCATGGGCAGGGACACCTTCCACTAGACCCGGTTGCTCCAAGCCTCATCCAGCCTGGCCTTGAACACTTCCAGGGATGGGGATCTACTTCCCTTCACTCACCCCAGGCTGCTTTCAGAAGCTCTTCTGCCCAGACACTGTTAAAAAACATAAACTTGGCAGAGTTGTGTGCCAAGGGATTGCTGAGGTGCTTTTTTCTTGGCCCATAGCAATCCGCTGAGATTTGGCGAAGTTCAGCACAGGCATTATTTTGTGGTGAGCTCCATCGGTTTTGATTAGACCTGAATGCACCACCCGGGTACCAGATTGCAGCATGCTCTGTTGAACCCAGCTAGGTGGGAAGCAAACAAACCGTGTGTCTCCTGACCTCGGTGCTCTAGCAGCCTTAATTGTTGAGCAAAGCCACTCTCATTTTCTGCTAAGAATCTGTAAAAACTGTGAATGCAGCCCGTATTTCTGAAGTGACAATCTTCCCTTTACACCGGGGCGTGAACCCTGTGTACTGCCTCCTCTTCCTCCCGGTGTCAGCTGGCCAGGGGGACATGCTGCAGAGCAGGTTTCATGTCATGCACACCTTACACAAACCCCAAGGGAGAGCAGGTGCCAGGGAGCTGTCTAAAATCTGGAATTAAGGGGAGAGGATGGAAAAATATACGGAATAAGCACAGCGCCATGGTTCTCCTGGTTCTTACCGGAAAAATATACGGAATAAGCACAGCACCATGGTTCTGGTTCTGACTTGGTTCTGAACCTTCTCTGACCAGTGTTCTTACCTTGGTAAGACATCTTACAGTTTGTCTTTCCGTGTTTATGAAACGAGGCAATACAGAGGGTTGTTATAGAGAGGTTGAACCCATGAAAAATGGGTCAGTGAATCAGCGGATGTTTGTAAATGACGATTTCTATCTTTTGCCTAAATTTTTGATCTGAAAAAGTTACTGTCATTTTGATCTTTGTGGTTTGAGATCAGATTCCATGCATGGCCTGTGATGTGCAAAATAAAAACTAATATAGGGCACTTTTTTTAATGTTTTTTCAGGGCTGTTATTCAGTACATTCACCCAACAGGCTTCTCCAGTGTTGGACTGTGCATACCACAGCATAGAGGGCACAGTAACTGATTCCAGACAATCCTTACGTACTGGCTCTTCATGGAATTTGTAACCTTAATGTTCCTCACAGTGGTGTATGTTACATATTTGCACAGAAGATATCAAACTAGTATTAGATGTACTTTATCAGAAAATGAATGCTGCTTTGGGGGAGTGGAGTTTTCTAAGGCTTAGAGAAAGAGGAAAGGATCAGATTCTTCCTCAAAGGTTTGTTTTGCTTCTTTTTAAAGGAGTAAACAGACTAGTGTTAGACTTCCGTAGTAATAGTAAGCGGCAGTTTATTTGTTGTTCAGAGGAATTGTTTTAACCATTTACAAAATGGCTCTTGCCAGGGTCTGGATAAAGATCTCTAGCAATTAGGTGTTAAAGGCAGCAACTGGTAAATCAGCGAGCATGATTTAAGAGGGGTGTCCTTCGTGAGCAGCATAAACCTCCAAGTTTGTGCATACTTAAAAGTAGCCAACAAGGGACGGTGTTATTAGGGGCTCATCCCTGAACCTAGATTTGTGTTGTTTCAGGAGTGGATGTCAGCATGAACACGCATCTCAAAGCAGTGAAAATGACACTGAAGAACAGAGAACCTGTACAGCTGGAGACGCTGAGTATTCGAGGGAACAACATCCGATACTTCATTCTGCCAGACAGTTTGCCTCTGGATACTTTGCTAGTGGACGTGGAACCAAAAGTCAAATCCAAGAAAAGAGAAGCAGGTTAGTTTGTGCTACCCCAGTCTGTTTGTTCTTCCTTTGTGTGCATTTTGGTTCTCTGGATCTGAAGACGTCTGATTAATATGTGTGTTAGTAAATGTCTTAATAGCTGCCTTTGGCAGCTAGTTCTTCTGTCATTGAGGGCTTGATACTGAACTGGCCAGGTCTGCCTTTCCCACCTTCTCTGCAGCTGCAGAGCTTGCTTTCCTGTGAACCTGTGTATGGCTTTTCATACGGCCGTTTTAAAAAGGTGAATGTTCTTAAGTGTGAGTAAATCTCAACCTACGGCAGCCTCAGAGTTGACACCCAGGAGGTTAATGTTTCTTCTCCAAACGCCTGCTGCGTTTCCCAGTTTGTGCGGGGCATTTCCCGTAGCGCAGTAAGAAAGCCTGGAACAGCTCCTTGCCCGAGGCTGAATGCTTCGCTGAAATCTCCCTTGGTTGTGGTTAAAAATAATCTGTCAGGAAACTGAATTTGAGGGAGCCCGGGCTGTATTCCGCTGAGCAGCTCTAGGTTTGGCTCCCAGTAGTGTTCCACACTCTGCTCTTCCCATAACTTTTTTTCCAAAGGCTGTTGAACAAAAGCCTTTTCCCGAGAAGCCTGACAGTACAGAGTGACTCCGTTTCACTCCACGCTGTTGAAGGCTGATGTCCAGTAAACCCCAGAAAATCTACATTGCCTTCAGGCAGTCTGTCTTTTGCCCGAGGGTTAATCTGTGTGGTTTAAAAGTAATAAGTTGCAAGTGAAAGCTAATTGGGCTCCAAAATAATGTCACACCATTTCTCCTGTAATTAGCGTTCAAGTATGCACGCGGTCTCTGATCCACGCGTGTGTTACGGATTGGTGTGCTTGCTGCACTGAAATGGTGTAAGGAACCCTTGGGGTGGGGGGGTAGTAAAGTGCAGGTGGGGTACGGCTGCTGTCTTTACGGAGAATAAGGATAAAGCTCCTGCAAGCATTTTGCTCCTCTCATGTCCAGTAGCAATTACCTGACCACATGGTGACATAATTGAGCGGGGTTGGCTTACTTGCATTCTGAACCCCGCGGTGCCACGTGAACATGACTTCTTTCTAACGCTGAAGAGAGGGAAGGAACTGTTAGCGCTCTTTACCTCGATTTAGTACTCTGTGCATCTTGAGTGCACTGAGGCACTCTGGGACCGCAGCTGCTTTGTGCTTCGCCTTGATCTGTAACTGCCCTTGGGCTGCAGCAGCTGGTAGGTCTGTCCTTGGTGAGTGACCTTGGGCCTGGGTGTGCCGGCACTTAGTGAACATGAGGGTCTGCCGATGCACGTAGGCGCTGCACGCCGCCAGAGGGAACAGAGTGGTGGTTACAGCCTGTTTCGGGAAAGTGGGTGCTGGCGTGTGTCTCTTACCCAGCCACCCACTTCCATCCTTTTGACCCTGTGCTGACAGACTCGTTTGAAATGCACCCATAATTTCAAAAGTCTCTAGGGTGGCCTTGCAACCTGACAGCTCAGGTCCTGTTTCTTTAGGAAGAAGGGGTGAAATGACACATTCCCACCGTATGGATCATACAACCTCCAGGAGTTGCTTGCCAAAGTCTTCCCTTTACCATTAAATGGCAGTATTTAAAAGTAGGAGCAGACAGCCTAGAGCTTGACCAGAGAATGACGTCTGGAACTGGCAGGGGCGTCATTGAAAACTGTAGGATCTGTTGGGTGGTGGGATCCTTCCCAAATGCTGCCCTTTCACACCGTGCTTGAGCTTGGGAACCTCAGGGCGTGTTAAACCGTGCATTTCCCTTTACCAGAGCACTATAAACCGCAGTGCGAGGTGTGGCCAAAAAAGCCTTCTTTATTGTAGGGAATAGTAATGAAATACTCTCGCCTTGCAGAGCGTTCTCTGCTGCCTGAAAAACTCCATTTTATACAGAACTAAAAAAAAGAGGAGGAAGCATAGTTCTCTGTCAGACTTAGCCTAGCATTTGGGAGCAGCCAACTGTTAGATCCCCCCGTTTTCCGCAGGGAAGCGGAGGAGAGAGGGTAGCCTCTGGAAGTTGCTAGCACAAAAGATGAAAATACTGCCTGAAACTTAACTCGAGCGTTACCAGCCTTCATACCTGACTTCCTGCTTCCCAGCGATGAGACGTTACCTTGGTTACGATTGGTACGGAATGTTTTCATGAAAACGAAGGTATTCCCAGGTCTCACTTGTTTTATCCTTTCTGTTTCCTCCACTAAGTTGCTGGAAGAGGCCGTGGCAGAGGCCGTGGCAGAGGCCGAGGTCGTGGAAGAGGAAGAGGGGGCCCAAGACGGTAACTTCTCACCACGCAACTGTTACCAAATTCTGGGCAGTTTTGGATATTTTTTTGTACAGGTCTTGTTTACGGTATCCGTTTTTAATAAACCTAGACGTGAAGAAGCTGTCTCTCCTTTGTTAGTGAAACGTGGGGAGGGAGGCGCGTCCTGTTCCGAGCGGCTGTTGCAGGCTAAGCGTGTCTTGGCTGGGGTTGCTTGGGTTGTCGGCGGTTCCGCCCCCCCAGGGAGGCTGGACAGCGGCCTTTGTAGCCTCTGGGGCGAGAGGCCCGTGTTGGCGTGTTTCAGGAGCGTTGGTTATAAACGATTCCCGCTCTCGTCAGGCACGTGCCACCTCCCCGGGGTTACACGGCTAAGGCTCCGTGTTAAGAACCCGCAGCCCTGAAGGCGTCTCTGAGGTTGTTCTGCAGAGTGACCTCTCTAAAGTTCATAGATGGAATTTTACTGTTTTTCTGTTGCACGCAGCTTACA